GTCTTCGGACTGAAGATCCGGAGAGAGCGATATAGTTTCCGAGAAGTTAGGTAATTTATCGAATGAAACAGAGGATATTTCGGTCATCTGAAAATTCTTCAGGTGTCCAAGAAATAATGATAATAGCTGTAAGCCCGGCCTGGTTCATACTCTAAATTTTTTATTGGGCTAGATCTGGACCGGGCTCGGGTCTAGCTCAACCCAGCCCATTCCGAACCCAAATGACAATTCTTTGCATGAATTTATTAGTTTGTGGGCTTGACGTGAAATTCTTTCATTTCTAGTGTATAGTATTAAAATGGTTAATTTTTTGGGGTTTATGTCAAATTCCAAAAGTCAAAACCCGAAAATTAATTGTCACGTCGCGTGGTGTTCGAGTCCAATATTCAACACCGCTTTTGATTAGTAAGCATGCTTACTAAATCACACGACGTGACAATTAAGTTTCGGGATTTTGACTTTCGGAATTTTGACATAAACCCAAATCTTTTTAAAAAATTAACCAATCATATGAATATATTCTTATAAAGTTGAGCTCCGGATGACTCCTATACGGGTTCAATCACTAAATTAACCAACCAGAGTCTACTAAATACAGCCAATCAGCGAAACGGATTTTCGGATCTACGGAACACTATTTGGTAAAAAAATTTTTACCAATTTTGACCAGAATTATACTAATTTCAGATAATTTTGGCCAGATTAAGGTTGCCAAATTTTGAATTTTATTAATAAAATTAGTTAATTTTAAAAGGATATGACTCTATTAAATTTTAATTAACTAAAAAAATAAACTTCATAACTTTGTTTTTAGGTTGTATATCGCTATATATAATAACTATATTAAAAAAATACACGGGAATCAACCATTGCATATTCGTGTAACATTCGTGCGCGTAATGAATGAGTTTTTCACGATATTAAGTATGGTATGGGGTGAGCAAATCAGTATGTTACAGACCAAAATTAAAACCATACGTACTATAACTGATCAGCTATAATTCCTAATTCTAATGGTAATATAAGCTTACATACCGGATCAGTACGTATCATATTTTCCAGTAACCGAATCGATAAGTTATCGACGTGTCATTTTTCAATTTCCACCGATTGAAAAATGACTCGGGTTAGTTCTTAATGCTAATAAGACTTGCATACAATAATAAAACTGATTAACCGCATATTAAATGAATACGTATTTGAGTGTCGCTAAAAGAAAACCCGAAAATTTAAATATGACTTATATTTAAATTTTCGGGTTTTCTTTTAGTGACGCTCATTTGCAATGACATAATACAAATAATTCTTTTACCCTTTAAAAAAGTCGATCCGTGTTTTATATTCCGTGTTTTGTTCATAAATGTTGGAGATTATTCGACTTATCGATCATGTTGTAGATTCACGGAATTTTCACAAAAAATATGGAAAAATAACGGAAATACAGTCAACCCCTCTATAGTCACCTCCTCTATAGTCACAAAATTAATATACAGTCAACCCCTATATAGTCACACCTTTGGGATACAAAAAACTGTGATTATAAAGAGGTGTGACTAATTTTGTATGAACCCTAACCCAGCGTTGGGAAGATTACTATGCCCAATTATTTTCAAAGTTAATTGGACATATGTCCAAAGCCAATTGAACATATGTCCATAACTAACTAAATGTGGCGCAGTTTTTTGTCCAATTTCCCAACACTGCCCTAACCTAATGATGGGTTCGGGCAGTGTCCCAAGCTTTTTAGCCTTGTCCCGGACATGTCCCATCAATGCCCTAGAATTTTTTTATCTTTTGTTTAGCTTTTAAAAACAATAAATTATGTATAATTATGAGCCAAGCAGGGCGGCCCCGAAGAGCGGGTCGATGGCGCAGCCGCGGCATATGAATAACCAATCGATAACGAGCCTTAAAGCCATTAATCAAGTACAATTGTTTATTAAGGAGTTAAAATTGACATCGATTATTGTTCGTACAATACAATATAATTAGCAAATTATTCTCTGCGGCTGTGGCTGCGCACTTTGGGGAACCGCCCTGGTTGACTCTATAATTATATTTCAAATATTTTTAATTTAATTTATAAAAACGGTTGTCTTAATAAAATTTTAAGTTATCGATAAATTTAAATTGTCCCAAATTTGTCCTAACCTAATTCATTCCCACGGAAATACATATTACGCATTGCATTTATTTAGACGCAAGGCTTTCTGATTGATGACTATTTTTGGTAAATAACGATAATATTAAATTCGTTGTATGATCTAAAGTTATGTACAGTAAATTTGTATTGTGTAATACTAAACCAAAATTGGAAGATTTTAATAATACGTAATCCTACTAATCGGTCTAAATTTGATTATTAGTACTAGCTAAACTCATTTTTATTCGTAATAAAAACTTTTCTTATACGTATTATCGTTATAGGAATGATTGAGCAATTAAAATTTATATAGTAAGTAATTGTCATTGATGCACTTGAATTTAATTAATGTATTTGTAAATTTAATTAATGTATTTATTAAACTAAATAAAAATCATTCAAAAATTATTTCGGAAATAAATCATCAAATGAATACTTGGTTATCTTGTAAAGATTTCGTTTTGAGACATTTATTTTCAAGTATATTGTGAAGTTTGAAAAATCAAACTTATTTGACATCACGTGATACTACCGACTATTTACTCAATTGATGAGAATACCCAGTGTCCGAAATTTAATTTTTAATTTAGTTGCGATTATATGGATTTAGTTGCGCATATGAATGTATTTATATGTCAAATTCGAACATATCTATATGCATATTCACAACATTTATTTGCGGAACCAGCATATACATTTCAGATTTTAGTTGCGGAAACTTATAAATCATTAGCTCCGCAACCCAATTTCAGACACTGAGAATACCCTACGTATGTACGACTCAATTGATGAGAATACCCTACGTATGTACGTACGTCCTACCTTTAGTGTTAGTATCGAGTATGCGATGAGTGTAAATATTCCATGCAGTGTGAATAATCTACAAACAAATTGATAATAATTGATAAGTGCGGTTACAACATAATCTGTAACTTATGCTAAACAAAGCAAATTTATGGAAAGACAAGTATAATATTGGCCGGAACACTTCACCCCTGAAGCTGACTAACGGCAGCACAGTGAGGGGAGCCTTGACACCGAGCTTGCTTGTGAAAGTCATACAAATAAAATAGTCAATCAGGAATGTAAAATTTATTTAACCGGGATCAAGCCAAGCGAAGAAAAATAGAGAAAATCAATGGTTAAAAGTTGCATTATCTGCTTGTGTTACTAAATAAAATGATTGGAAAGAAGTTTTCTTTTCAGCATACACTAATTTTAGTCTAACCCTGAATTGTACTAGGCTTCCTTCATATGATAGAAATCTACAATTTTATATTTAGACAACAAATTAAATAAAAGTTTCATATTGTAAACTCTGGTTGGTTATATATAAAGTCACGGGATATTTAAGGGAACGACCATTTCGGATCTCGGATCTCTACTTTTTATACACTTTTTAGGATTGTTTTATGAAAACTTGTCAACTAAAGATGTAAATATGAGAACTGATGGCTAATAACGAATTAGGCCGCTTGAAGTTAAACTTTCGTTTAACGTTATCCCCATCCATCCCCTGAGCTCCCCCCTAAAATTAAACAAATACAGAAATAGAGGTGACAAATTAGTCAGTGTAATGGTCGGCACAGCGATCGGAATTTTTCGATTATATTCGGGATTTTTCGGTATACTATAGGTTTATTTTTTGTTTGTTTAGTCCCCCCGTGAATACGAAAAAAAAATAACGTTAAACGAAACTTTAACTGCAAGCGGCCTTAATTACTATAGTTAATTATTATGATTAATTATTGTTATTTTTTTTAAATCTTCAAGGTGAGGCCATATTATGATTAATTATTATGATTAATTATTATGATTAATTATTATGATTAATTATTATGATTAATTATTATGATTAATTATTATAATTGATTACTATTAATTGATTATTATAATTGATTATTATAATAGAGTTGGTATGAATCATTTTTTACAGTCAATAATCATATTGAAAACAAATATACTAATAATATGTAAATATACATCACTATCGTTAATGCACTGTTTATTATTTCTTTTTAATAAATGTATATTACATCTTTGTCGTGGAAAATAGGAGAGGGATGAAATAATAAATGTGCAGAATTAAATAAATCATTCTGTTTAGTAAATTATTATTATTATTAGCACTATCTAGATAAGTTTTTTTTATAAAAATTGCTCCAGGCATTTTTCTTAATGATCGATCTTTTGTTTTTTCTTGGTTGTTATTTTTTTGGTTTTTTTTTGATTGTATAAAAATAATGTCTTTTAATAACTATTATATATATGTATATTGCTGTGTGGAAGTTTCATGAATAGGCATAGGCTCTATCTTCACAGACGGTAATTCTTCATTACTTTCACCAATTGTTATAACATTTACACTTTTCTCTTTTTGGGCAAACATTCTCGATATGCCACCCCCTAATATTGTTATAGCACACAGTGCCAGAATCGAAGAAGCTGTAGCTGGGCCAACTACTAGTGGCATTTCTAATTGCGTCCCTGGAAGAGCTGGACCCGGTGTTGATGTTGGTGCTTGTGCTGGTGCTTCTGTTGGAGTTTCTGTTGGTAGTTGTGTTGAATCGCCTGTGTCTACTGTGTCTGACGATAAGTCACGTTTATAAAGAGCATTTGATAGTACATCTTCTATTGTATTTTGATTTATTTGTGACGCTTTAAATTTGTTAAAATTAATGTTAGAAACTTGAAAGTTTATAAAAATTAAATAAAGTTAATAAATGCACTTACCAAAGGTAATACCAAACGAAGTTGTGTACAAAAGAATGATCATTAAAACCATGAACCTTCTATAAATCATCTTGCTAATAAAAACAATATATTAAATACAGAATGGTTAAAACTGAACTAGCAGTCGATAGTGAAAAAAAGAAAAAGTGTTTGAGAGCACTTTATAGGAAAAAGTCCGATTCTATTTCTTTATTTATTATTTTACACAATTAGATCTTTCAAATTATTTGGTACAACAAAAGTTGTCGTTCAATAATAAGATCTGTTAATGTTTC